AAACTTTAAAATTATGTTCATTATATTTTTAAATGACTAATAAGTTTTAGTAGTTATGATTTAACTGTCAGTTATATTCAAGGAATTTCTCTTAACAAATAAATAGAACAAATTTACATATATCAAAGATTTACTAGGCATCAAAACTTTTAAAGGAACAGATAGCAATACATTTCATCTGTGCCTAGACTAGCATTTGATCCATAACAAAAATTGGTTGAGGCCGGGGAGATGGCTCAGTGGAATAAGCACTTCCCTGGCAAGTGCAAGGGCCTGAGTTCAACCCCTAGTTCCACCAAAAATAAAAAAAAAGTATTGGTTGAAGGAATGAGCGTATAAGTTTATGACAGATTTATTTATCACCTCCACTTTATAGATACTCTGATAAAGAGAATTCAAGTAGTTTGTTCAAGATCATAAAGTGTGTAGGAGGCCTGAAATATAACTCAGCCACATAGCACCTTCCCAGCAAGCCTACATCCTGAGCTCAATTCCTAGATCCAAATAAATAAATTTTTTAAAATACTCAAAAAATATATGAGAATAAAGCTGAGCTTGAGCACAGGTTTCAAAATTTCTAACTCAATGATCTGCCACATGCTACCAAATTTATGCCTAAGAAAAATCATTATAAGATATGTACGCTCTCCTACTAGGCTTTACTCCCAAACCCACTATTTCTTACCATCTACATGTTATAATGAGGATGCAGATGATTGTTGGAATAGCTAAAGCGTAGGAGGAACACACATGAGGTGACAGAATGAAGGCATCAAAGCAAATTTTAGGGATTCTAAAGAAATTAAAGTCCATTCTTAGAGTATGACATATTTCATTGAAAAAGAGTAATTTATCATGACTGTTCAACTATTTATGGGCAGATATAAACATTTCAGGCAAAGAGAACATCCAAAAGAAGACAAAAGGTGGACGATTAGAGTGAAATTATGAAAAACTTTTGTAGTCAACTTGCCATTACAATAATAAGACTTTATGGGTTTATGCTACATAAAAAGTGATGTGAAACTGGTTGACAAATGCCAAGGCCTGATGATGGTCTATAGAGTTCCTTTATTCTTTTATTGAAAACTCTGTAAAATACAGTACCTTAATATTACTATATTAAGAAAATAAGAAAACTCAAAGAAAAGCTTTATAAGTCACAGAACACACACCTTTTAATTATACAATGCTATATATGTTTGTTTCATGTAAAATTTCACCACACTATAAAATATTTCTTCTTTTTCTTTCATTTTCTACTATCCTTTTAAGTTGTGGTAGTTACTGCATACAGGATAAAAACTTACAAATATTGAGAATAACGAATGAAGTCACTATACTGTAAGAATCAAGAAAATGGCCTAGAAATACAAAATTGAAAAAAAAAAACACTAGAAAGCCAACGGATACTTTAGAATATATTTTAAATCATTAAGTGATAATCTGAGAAACTAAGAAAATTCCTGATAATGTCATCTTGTACCTGCATGAAAATTGAATGAAGCCCTGTCCCAGAAAGCAGTAGAGAGACCATGCTGAACTCCACTTGCTGCCCAGGCTTCCCTACACCATCTCCAGAAAGGGGTCCCCAGTGATTCCACACTCTCAGTCTATTTTATTGTATTTGCTCTGTAAAAAAACCTGCATTCATTCTGAGGATTAAACAGTTGTGTCATATCTACAGGTCACTGCTTTAGTCATTTACAAACTCAAGGTCATTCCTACTCCTTGCCAAAAGATTTGCACTGATGCACCGCCTCCTGCTGTGCTTTACATTTGCTGTATGTAATTGCTAAAGCCAAGTTCAGTGGCTTGAGAGATGTCCAGAGGATCAGTAAAACATATTTTCAGGTGCATCTGGGTGTGTTATGGATGCCTGACTTTGGGTCATTCGACTGTTGCACCTTACTCTTGGGCACTATCCCCTCTGCTTCTTAGCTCACTCTGTGACTAGGATATTCTGCAATAAGGTTCCTGCCTGAGCCTAGGCAAACTTGTACTGAATCTGCTGAGACAGTGAGCCCCATTAAACTTCTTCCATGTGTAGCTATCAAGTACTCTTTCCCAATGACAGGAAAACTGACCATATTTTGGACAATGTCAATATATACAGAGATAACTGTTTCTGAACTATGGCCACAGTTACTTGATATTTTTTTCACTTCTATTTGTCCCCTATTGTATGATAAACTGAAGGATACATTATTAGCCACAACTGAATCAGCTCTACGAAGTTCAGGCACTCAAAATGTCTTCAGTCATTCAGAAAATTACAACTAATAACAAAACATCAAAAATTCCTAGGAGCCTCTAAGAATGCTAATTTCATAACTACTTATTCCCTGTCTCTCATTCTGTTTGGGTTCTTGTTGTTCAACTTGAACTGTTTTGCTTTGGCAATATGGTCTCCCTTTATATTGCATGCTACATGTTTTTGCATCTTCTTGCATTATTGGACATTTAGAGAAAATATTTGATCTTGACGAATATCTGATGGATTCCCATCTACATGTGTATAATTGCATTCAGGTTAAATTTTCTCTCATTAAGGGAGCACCACTCTCCTGTACTAGGCCCTCAGAGAGATCAGGTATCTAAGCTCATACATAACCTACGATCATTTATCTTATTGTTCTAAGAAAAGAGAGGTAAAGGAGAAAAAACCCACAAACAACACATCACCCATTTTGCTAACTTCACTTTATTAACATGGGTTTTTTCCTTTATGTCAAAAAATTAGAGGACAGTCCATCTATATATCACTGATATTTTATATCCTTTTAAAAACCTTGCCTATTAGCCTAGCAAAATTTGTTCTCCAAGTCTTAATAGTATCTTTCTCACCTGAGTTTAATTATGCCAAGCGTTTCTCATCTGAAAGTTTTAACAAGCAAATCCTTCAGTTGAGCTTATAAAATTAAAGTTATTGTTCTATTTTCTCTGTTCTCATTAGTACCAAAGAACCTCTGAAAATTGAGTGCACCTGGGGTCTCCTCCATTGTCTTAAACTCCACTCACTCAGTGTTGCCTCCCCCACTGCACAGTGTCAAAATTAGTGATGATCTCAGGTTTAATCAGCAGGAAGGTATATTTTTGCCACTTATCTTTCTGACATGCCAATGTTGTTGACATAGACGAATGCCTCTCCTCTTTGTTGTACTATTTTGTCTTTTGAGAGAAAAACAGAACTTAAAGATTTAAATTTCCTTTAATATTTGATTGCTTTGAGTTCTTACCACTCCCCTTGCAGATTCTGACCAGTGTCTATCTGAGTAGCACTGGACTATTCAGAGACCAGTTCCTGGAATTCATTCAAGAAGAGAACTGATTTAGGAAACTTACAAATACTGTCCTAAACGTAGAAGTCCATCAGTTAAATCCCTCTTTGTAGTCTCATGTGATCATTTACATCTTCAATGATGAAAAAATGTGCACTCTCTGTGTGTGGGGTGAGGGTAGTCAGTGGAGAGTGGTAGACACAACTAATTCCTCTTATTGAAGTAGTTAACATACATTCTAGAAAGGAAGTAACTAGATTCTTCTAGACAAGTATTATTGCTAACTATTGTGTGGTAACAATAAGAAGCTGAGGAAAATTTAGCAAAACTTTAGAGTTTGTTTCTGTGTTGGCTATTTATGATTTTTTTGAGTCATAAAGAGTCTCTGAGATTCTTTATCAGTAAAACATGGCTACAGGAGAATACGCTGCACTTTTTCAAGTGATGAAGTCAGACTTTGGCGTTTATTCAGATCCTAAGAATGAATTATCTCTTCTTCCTACTGTGCAATGATAATCACTTCACCTGCATTCTTGAATCAGCCTTTCTTTCACCTCTAATTTTTGCACTATCATTCATTTTCTTTTCTTTTATATTTCCATAAAGCTTCTTTTTCGTTTACTTTTCTTGCTCAAGTCTTTCCAATCTGCAAGAAATTCATGCAGGGAGTCTTCAGTAGGATACACATATTAGTTCCTCAACTTCAATGACTCTCATATCCATTTATGTTTTATGTATTACCTCCAATGTATTATAATAACTTATTTTCCATGCCCAGTATTGTTGCATAGCCAATCACTCAATGCAGAAATCCACAACTGACCCGAGACTTTACTGTCTCCCACATCAATCATACCTAATTAGTTACCAAGCATATTCAAGACATTGCCTACTTGTTTATTTAAATATTATCTTTCCTTTTCCTCTTAACTTTCGCTACTTTAATTCAAGACTTGATTATCTATTTCACAGAACAAGTTAAAAGTTATTTCTGATCTTGCCAATTGACCCTAGCATTTTTTGTTATACATTGTCAATCCAAGTGCTCATATTTACACCTGAAAGTTAGCTTCCTGCCCAAGTCATTGTTACTCTTCATTTTTCAGTACTTATCAGACTTTTTTACTAATCTACTCCTCATAAAAAGAGTGTCTTGCTATGTACTTGAAAGTGCCTGCATTTCACTTCACAATACTTCTACATTTCCCAAAGTCAATTAAAAAAATAATATCACACAATGAGATTAAAGGGAAGTGTCTCTCCATAACCACATATCAGTTTCCCATTTATGAATATAATGGCTCTGTAAACTGAATTGTCTTGGTAGAAAGCAAAGCATTCTTCTTTCTTGTGAGGATGGTGTATGTTGTCTGACGCATATGAAGGACTTAATAAATATTAGTTCAATAAATAAGCAAACAATAAATGAAACACTGACTAGTGCAGTGCCAAATGTAGAATTACAGTCACACAATCAGTCTGGCCACAGCTAAGTGACTGTGGCTTATTTCTATCCATGCTACTTGGAAACAACCATACTACCTGTGGTGGGATTCTCAGAGAACTGATGACATGGCTTTCATCAAAAAGCTCTTCCTGAGGAAAACTGAGAATTTCTCTGGTGCATTATGTAAAGTCCAGAGTTTCTGTCAGAGTATCATTGTAGCTCTCCTGCTTCTGTGTGCAGTTGAGTCTGCACTCTTGCCTCTGAGGCTAACCATGTCTTCTCACAAGACTTTTAGAATCCAACCATTCCTGGCCAAAAAGCAAAAGCAGAACTGTCCGATTCCTCATTGGATTCAGATAAAGACTGGTAGTAAAATCAGGTACAACTCCAAGAGGAGACACTGGAGGAGGACCAGTCTGGGGTTGTAAGGAGCTACCCGAGGTCTGTAGTGATTTCCCCTCTCAGGGGTCACAGGGTGACACCCTATTTATTATGGCCAGGACAGCACTGAGTCAAGCTTAAAAGATACCACTGACTGGACAGCAGAATGCGCTTCATCAGTAATCTTAACCTTCTTCTGTGATCAGGGCAATGGGATCAACAATAAACATTTGACACCTTTTAAAAACAATGTCTTTGGAGCAGGCAGCAGATGGCAAATGTGAGCTGCCAGCTGCAGCTCCGGGCTCTTTACAGGTACCCACGTCTACCCTGTGTGTCCGCACTCACTGCGTGAGCCTAGCTGTGGTTCTGCTTGCGCCTGGCCCATGGCGATCCAGCCCTCTCCATTGGGAAATGGGCAGCATGGACACTGGAGCTGTGGTCCAGTGTGTGCTGGGACTGGGCCTGGATGGGGAATTATCATTACCTGGCCCTGAGGAAGGGGAGGACTCTCCGTTCACCACAAGCAAGAACCACTGGAGGCAACAAAGGAAGGGCAGGTAGCATCAAAATCCCTGACTTGATATTGTACTAGAAAGCTACTGTGATAAAATCAGCATGCTTTTGGGGAAAAAAAATTGAGGATCAATGGAATAAGTTAGAAGATGTAGAAGCCACTATAAACACACTCAGCCAGCTTTTCTTTGACAAAGGGGCCAAACATATTCACTGGAAGAAATATTGCTTCATCCATAAATGGTGCTGGAAAAACTGTCTTACTACATACCAAAGGCTTAAAATAGACCTATGTCTATCACCATGCACACAACTATAGTCAAAATGGATCAAAGATTTAAATATTAGAAAAGGAACACTACATCTTCTGGAGGAAAAATTAGGAAGATATCTCATAGACATAAGAGAAGGTAGAGTTCAAGAAAAAAAATCAAACCAAATGGGAAATACTGTAAACAATTGACAACCAGGATCTCATCTTTTTGAAAAGTTTCTGTACTTCAAAAAATCAGTTGCAGTTTTTGCTCATTGCTGGGACAAAATACACGACATTCAATTTTTTTTTTTTTTTTTTTTTAAGTGGGGATTGAACTCAGGTCCTTGTGCTTGCCAGGGAAGTGCTTATTCCACTGAGCCATCTCCCCGGCCCTCTGACATTCAAAATTAAGGAAAGCAAAGATTATTTATCTCACAATTAGTGAAGGTTTCAGTCAATATTTGGCTGGATACAATTGAGAATGGGACATAGCAGAGTGCAGGCATTCATAGCAGCCATAGAAAGCAAAGCGCAAAGGGAGGAGCAGTGGCTATGGAAACAGAGGCAGAAGCAGAATGAAGAGAACTCTCTCTCTTCATTATATTGCCGTCAGGCTATCAGCCCCAGGCTGGGTAGAGCACTCACGCAATAATCCCAGCAGCACTCACACCAATCATCCTAACACTGGATCCTTAATTAATCACAAAGTCTAGAAGCCCACCCCAGTGACTACATGAGACTTTGGGGGGACACCTAGACATAAGTCATAATGAACCCCATCAGCATAAAAAGAAAACCCGCAAATTTGGAAAAAATTATAGTGGACTGTCCTTCACACAAAGAACTACAATTTATATAATATACAAACAATTGAAAAAAATAAGATCTCCAAAATTCAAAGACCTAATCTCAAAATGGGCACCTGAGATAAATATTTACTTCACAAATGAAGGGTTGGCCAAATAGCTCAGCGGATTAAAGCACCTGCTTCGGATGTAGGGAAAAATGAACACTTTGCCACTCTTGGTGACAGTGCAGGCTGGTACAACCACCATGGAAATCAGCATGGAGATGCCTCAAAAAGCAAGGGTCGGAGGCCCATTCAAGCCAGCTATTCTCTTCCTAGTTGTTTATCCAAAAGAGCTAAAATCACTATACTACAGCAGTATATGTGCACCCATGTTTATAGTGGCACAATGCATTATAGCTCAGTCTTGGAAACAACTCAAATGCCCATCAACTGAGGAATGGATAAGAAAGTTATGCTAAATTTACACAGTGGAGTATTGTTCATCTATAAGAAGGATACATTCATGGGGCTGGGGAAATGGCTCAGTAGAATAAGCGCTTCCCTGGCAAGCCCAAGGGCCTGAGCTCAATCCCTGGTTCCATTAAAATAAATAAATAAATAAATAAATAAATAAATAAATAAATAAAATGCATTCAAGGCTTTGATTGATAAATGGATGCATCTAGACACCATATTGGTAAGGGAAATAAATCAGATCCAAGTGTGCAAACATTAGACTATCTCACTAGCCTGAGAACCTGAAAGACTAATCAAAATCTGGAACTTAAAATAGATAGTATGAAAGGGAAACAATTTATTCAATGGATGGGAAAAACTGGGATGAGGCAAAGGATGAAAGGAGAGTAAAAGATAATTTGTGATATATGCAGGATATTCTGGGTAACTGTACCTACAGTTTCCACTGGTAGTTTGAAAGGAACACTTACCACTTAAAATCTTTTTTTATTATTGTTGGTTTTTCTTTTGCATTTCTTACAATGTTTTATTATTTGATTGTTTTGTTTTTTTTCTTTACACCAGTCCTGTAAATTCATACCTGGTAACCTAACCAACTAATTTAAAGATAATAGCATAGAATACAACAACCATTGTTGGCTAACTATTGCTTTGATTAGTGTAATTTTATATCATTTCTAAAACTATTTCTATCATTATTTTGCATTCTTTAAAATGAATAAAGATATACCTCCAGACAAAACAGCAAGATCATCCATATGTCAAATATGTCCTGCAATAAGGCTTGGAAAGCAAAATATATCCATTGTCACTGTAAGCATTATATGTCAATGGAATGTGATATTTTCTTTCCTGAAGACTGTATTAGGCATAATAATTGAAGTAAAGATATTTTTGTAGATTGCTGTTTATATTTTCATTCTAGTTCATAGAGAAATTATTTTATTTATTTATTTACTTATTTATTTATTTATTTAGATGGAACCAGGGATTGAACTCAGGCCCTTGTGCTTGCCAGGCCTGTGATTATTCTACTGAGCCATCTCCCCAGCCTATAGAGGAATTTCTTTACTTAGATTGGTACAACCAAAAACCAGCTGATGTTGAAAATGGTGATGCTTTTCATGTTCATTTGATAAATATACTAAAAATGTAAACTTTATCTTTGTGATTTTTTCCTGTTAAGCACTCATTGCTTAATATAATAAAACTTATAAAATTAAAAAGAATCAAATAGTCAGATACTGTCTCAGATGGAATCATAAATATTTCTACTGCTGGATATTTCTGATTAACAGGAGAGTGTCCATTATGAAGAAGAGGATTCATTTTAGTCTACATCTTTATCCATTTATTGCCTATGTTTTTGGTCTCTTGTTTTCATTCCAAATAATTGTTTCTTACTTCTTGAAAATGTTCTCTTTTCTCATAGCTATATGCACCTCTCTAGCACACTCTTAGAAATGAAAAAAATATTTGGCAGATCCATCAGCTAGTCCTTTAATATGTAATTTTGCTACCTCTTAGTGTGTCAGTTAATGGTAATTTTCAACCTGACTGGATGGAGGGATGGAATCCTTGAGAGCTGGGAGGACAGTGGGAAGCACCACTCTTCAGCACACTGACCCATCACTGCTCGTGGGTGGGCTGCTGGCCTATGGTGGTGGATGCTAATGAGCTGTGGCAAGATTCACTTGTTACAGCATCACATCAGCTCCCAGTAATACCATGAAATGAGTTCTCCCCTTCAGTGAATTAAACCACTTGAGGAGATTAGAGCCTTCAGACCCTTAATATAGCTCAGCAATCTAGGTGCCTGCTTAGAAAAGTGCAGGGACCAGGTTTGATCCCCAGTACACACGTTACACCCATTCCACCCCCCGGGGCACACTGAGCTAGCCATCAAGTCCTGGCATTGTGGCATGTGCTCGTAATCCCAGCAATGGGAAGGTTGAAAGCAGGAGGATCAGTACAAGTCTGAGCTGCATAGTGAGACCTTGTACCAAATACATTTGAGAGAAAGAGAGAGAGAGAGAGAGAGAGAGAGAGAGAGAGAGAGAGAGAGAGAGACAGAGAGACAGAGAGACAGAGAGAGAGAGAGAGACAGACAGACAGACAAACTGACAAAAAGACAGACAGACAGACATAGAGAGACAGAGACAGAGAAAAAGAGAGAGAGACAGACAGAGAGAGAGAGAGAGAGAGAGAGAGAGAGAGAGAGAGAGAGAGAAAGATCAGATTCTTCATGATTCCATTGATTTCCCATAGTCTTCCAGTTGGCAACAGAACCTCCAATACATGAGTCTTTTTCAGGGCTATTGTGAATCCCAGCCATCAAGTGTGTTTGCTTGTGTCTGTGCACACAGCATCTACTCACACAGTAGGCCTAGGCGAAAGGTTGTGCTGGTAGACATCAGTAGACCTGGAGTCAGGGATTTTTTTTTTAATTTCAGTTATAATCAGCAGTAATGATTCATCTCAGTGATTCTTATATTCTTCAATTTTTATGTTCTTCTATTAATACATTTCTGAAGTTCCTTCTCACACATAACAAAGCTCACTACATGATCAAGCGGTACTGGAAATGAGTATGTGATTCCCAAAGGCAGCCCATAAAATACATTCTCACATCTGTCTTTGTCTGTTCTCTCTGAGGGGAGCCAGACACATTAGTACTAGCACATTCGAACCACTGTGGAGAAATATCCACACCGGTGGGGGATGGGGACCTCTTACAAGCAGCTGATATCAAAGGGCAGTCCTGTGAATGACCCATTTATATTTTGGAGCCCCAGTGTTGACTTCAGGTCACTGTAAACCAGTGAATCCTAGACTAAGAACACTCAACAAAATCCCTAACTGAAAATGTTAGCAAAACATCTCTGGATTCATAAACACAACAAACAAGACATAAGTAATATTTGTCTTTAAGAAGAGCATTTAGAGGAAAATAGGGAAAATGATTAGCAGTAGGGCTTTAAAACATTGTCAGCTAGTAATAACACAAC